AGGAATGAATGTCACTGTCCTGGTGCCATCAGAGGCAGCTATCAAAAACCTGAGCAAGACTGAGAAGGACTTCTGGTTGACCCCCTACATGCTACCATTTTTAGTCAGGTACAAGCAGACTCCTGCCTTTGATTTATATTGTCAAACAACTGCAACAAAGCTTGAGCTGAATTTCTGCTTGTACAAGGCCACTAAACAGTAATCTTGAGGTAACTATAGAAGCAAGATTAAATACATAGCAGGCAAAGAATTTAGTAGGCATTTAAAACAAAACAGAGCTCTGGCAATGGGAAGTGGGTTTATTTTTCCTTTATTTGCAAAGAGATATTTTCCCTGTCATGTGGATGCAGATGGCATCAGGACAAGTAATTCCCTCCCTTATTCTCTCCACATACTTAAGTACTTCATATGACAGATGTGAATGTTGGGTAGAATAATCTTATTTCCCTGTTATTACAAACTGTGCCCTAAAATTTTCTTTACCTGTTTTTTTTTTCCCTTCAGGGCTCACTTTCTTGAAGGTGTCTTCACTGGTGAAGAGCTCAAAAAGTATGACAGGACAGAACTGCCCACCCTGAACCCACACACCAGATGGCAGATAAACACCAGGAGTGGCGTAAGGGTTTCTTACAAAACATACATGTACAAATATCAAATTAAACTGCTCAAGAGCTGCTGTATCCAGTGGGGAGTCTGGATGGGACACTGATGCTCTCAAACTCATAGCAGCCTTCCAGTATCTGAAGTGGGCCTACAGGAAAGCTGGGGAGAGACTTTTTACAGGGGCTTGTAGTGAGAGGACAAGAGGTAATGGATTAAAACTGGAAGAGGGGACATTTAGATTAGACATTCGGAGGAAATTCTTCACTGTGAGGGTGGTGAGACACTGGAACAGGTTGCCCAGGGAAGTTGTGGATACCCCCTCCCTGGAGGTGTTCAAGGCCAGGTTGGATGGGGCTCTGAGCAACTGGTCTAGTGGGAGGCGCCCCTGCCCATGCAGGGGGGTTGGATCTAGATGATCTTTAAGGTCCCTTCCAATTCAAACCATTCTATGATTCTGTGAAACTCAGGAATCGTTCAAAAATTATACTGAAATCAACCATGTGCAACCTTGAAAGAGCAATATATTTGTTTTGAACTTGCTTGGCATTTTCTAATCCTTTTCTTTCTCCCTCTCATCCTGTTGCAGGTATTAACTATTCAGAATGCCAGTTTAGACATCAGCGACATCCCTGCCAGCAATGGCATTATTCACATTCTCAGTGAGGTACGTTGGGGCCCACCATGCTGGAAAATGCTGCAGATGTTGCAGCAGGTTTCTGTTGTAGCATCTGTGGTGGGGCCAAGGAGGAGTACATGTCTGCATGGTTGGGAAGGGATAAAATGTAAAAAATATATTTGGTTATCACACAGTCCTGACAGATGTTTCCTGTGCAGCAACGTGAAATGTTAGAAATACTTGTCTCCAGGACAGGCAGCAGGGGAGTTTCTCTTCTGCTGTCTGACAGGAGAGTTAAGGCAATTGCAGAATTGTGTAAAATGAGGCCTTTTTTAATTGCCTTTCTTATGAGCACGGCAGGAGTCTCGTGTGATTTCCCCCAGAGCCCCTTGCCCCACCTGGCTTATGAACTCACTTTTTCTGCAGGTTTTGTTGCCACCTTCAGAAGATATCCCACCAAGTCCTCCAGGTCTGCAGAAACAGCTCGAGGCAGTTGCCTCATTCAGCACATTCAAGGAGTTGCTAGAGGTGAGCACTGTTGTGGTTATCAGAACTGTCTTTTGAGCAAATGTTCACCTTACCTTGTACTTATGAGAAAAGGGAGACCACCTGTTTCCTACCATTTATGAAGGGTCTTCTAGGAAAGCTCTTCTGAGTAGGCAAAGTTGCAATACTTAGTTAGATCTCTGTATCATTCTATTACAGTGGAAGATGATCTGTACTGGGCAGGGAAGCCTAGAGGAGAAGGGAGGCTTAGTCATAATAAAGAAGCTGCACTTATGTCAGCCCAGGAGGAGGAGGCAGGAGTTAGACTTGTCTGAGTAGAAGTTGTGTATCCCGTTTTCAAGCATTTCCTCTAGTTCTCTTGTCTTTGTAGTTGATTTCATGGGTGGTTTATTCTTTAGTGAGTACAAGTGTCATTGCTAATGTTATTATTTGGACATTTTTTAGCAATACCAGCTCATGGGAAAAATCGAGTCCTCTGAAAAATACACAGTTTTTGTTCCTGGAAACAATTCCATTGAGGAGTACTGCCATGCTGCCAATGTGACACAGCTGGTAAGCTCAATACTTGCTTGTGGTTGGAATGTATATTGAATTAAGTGCAGGGACATGTACACTGTCAGATCATGAACTTGAATTCAGTGTATTTGAACACAGAGAGAAGAAGCATATCTGATGCTGAAAGCTAGGAGAAATGTGGCAAAGGGAAAGGAGAGGATTTATTGAGGTGTTGCAATGGGATCTGAAAAGAGTGTTTGGTCTCCAAATGCAAATTTCTGAGTAGGTCTGGATATAAATATATGGCACAGCAGGTTACCCTTTCTGACCAGCTGTGGTGTATCTGTGGCAATTTTGAACGTTTTGAAAGTTTCCAATATCTATTACTTCATCCAGTAAGAATCATCAGGTATTATGAGTCACCCATGATAGGGAGTTACTAGACTCTGTGGGCTTAATTAACTGTTACAGCTGTTTAGGAACTCTTCTCATGCCATGCCTCTCTGACTGAAGGGTAGTCCAGGAAGTCAAAAGACTCCTAACATTGGGGTTTTTTGTGGATTCAGGACAATGAGACCGTGCAGTACCATGTTGTACTGGGAGAGAAGCTCTTACCTGCAGACTTGAGAAGTGGAATCCATAAGAACAGCATGTTAGGGCTCTCCTACTGGCTCATGTTCTACCAAAACAGCACCCAGGTAAGGAGTTCTCTGCCATTCGATGATCTGGCTAAACCTTTCACTTCCTAAGGCTGGTGGCTGGATACGCCCTTACAGTTTGCCTGCTGTGGCTGTCAGACAGTCCATCCAGAAGGAGTTGAAGGTTATCCTGTCAGCCATTTCCTTCTACTTTGCAGAAGTTTGTCAATAATATTCCCTTGGATGGAAAATTTATTGAGACGAGGAACGGCATGTTGATCGGGGTCTCGCAGGTCCTCCTGATACAGAAGAATCGTTGCACGGCCAATACCACCACGATACAAAAGGTGATGATGTTTACAAAGGAGATGGCCACCTTTCCATTGCATTTCTGCACCTGCTGA